GAAAGAGGATTCCTGGCACCCCCACAGTGAAGACAAACCTATTGCCTCTTCACCGTCAAAAGCTCCCTGTAGATACCTTGCAGCAATTCTCAGCTTGCCCATCAAATTCAGTACCTTTTGCATTTGTATGAGATGGGCATCTCTCTCTCTTCTCCAATCTCCTTTCTTCCCTCCCCACTTCCACAACATCAAAATGTATTTCACCTTCCAAATTCAGTTTAGGTTTGTTCTCTTCCATCCTTGTTTTTAGCCTCTCAAGACCTTTCTAGGGCTTTGGCAGCAATCTCAACTCTTACCAGTCAAGCTTACCTAGATGATTGTTAACATGCTGTTTGCTGCCTTGTCCATATCATTATCCCAAAGCTTACATAAGGAACACCAGTCCCGAGGAACACTGGAAACATGATGCCATTTAGCAATTGCTCTTTGTGTTTATAGTTCTTCAAATGCCACTCCAGTGTCTTTTGCAACCTCAGTATTATGCCAGCTACACAGGATCTTCTTATTGAAACCTTGTTAACTGCCTTTCCACTAAGCAAATAAAAGCCTTGGATTTTGTCTGAGCTTATTTCAGTGCTTAAGAGACAAGCATCAGTTAAGCATCAAAATATTTCATAATACTTCTGTGGAACTTTCATGTGAAAATTGGGACTGAGACAAAGGTCAAGTGATTTGCTTGTATGCTCCATCCAGAGGAAGGAATATGACAGCTTTCCTCTGAGTCCATAGCTGATACTATAAGCTCAAGACAATTCTTCCTGGTCCAGTCTTCTTTCAGAAACTTTTCCCCAAACCTGTTATAACTTTTCCATTGACCTACAGGTCAAAGGTCCAGGTCCAATACATCTTACTCACAGAAACTGAAGAGATTATCAACATTGATAGAGATTTCTCAGATCTGCAAGGCTTCCAGGTGTCTTAGCTAGTTTCTAACAAGCAGAATCACTAAAATGACAAATACTAACATCCATCAAGTTGTGCCTGTCTGAACAATATGGAATTATGTTATGGGTTTAGACAGGGAGGGAACACCATGCCATGCTTTGAAAAAGATCTACTTATGCTGTGTGGTTTCTTCCTAAGCCTAGGAACCAAGCAGATCTTTTTGCCTACCAGCACCTTCATAATGAGTTAGCTTAGCCACCCAGAGCCACACCATGTTATTAACAGCAACAAACTTGCAATATCAAAGCAGTAAAAGGAACACCTTTTTATCCAATAATGAGCACAGACAACTTACCTCATCACCACTGGCTATTCTTTGTGCCAACTCCTTTAAGTTCCTCATCATTCTTTCATCTCGGAAATCATAAGGAAAAGTCTCTGTCCATTCAGTCAACAACTGTAGGATTTTTGGTGCTATTTTTTGTATCCAGTTCTAGGTGAAAACAGTAGTTAGGAATGTTATATGTAACAGTAATACAACAAATACCTAACTCGAAGGCAACAGAATTCTGTTCTGTAGGATTCTGTGGAGCATAAGGGTATGAGGGTCAGTTAAATTTTTAAGCTTAATTTAATTCAGTATTGGATTACAGGCCAGAGTCAATAGCCATGGAAGTCAATGAAGAGACTCTCATTGGTTTAACTGACCTGGAAATTAGGTCCCAAGTGGATGGAAATCTTAGAATGACTCCCTCATAATCAGGAGTGTCTCAGTGCAAAGTATTTATTAGTCTTTCCATAACTTATGACTAACTGTCAATAATGGAAGTGATAAATTCCAATTCATCCAAGCCTTCTGCATGCATTCCCATGCAGAAGTGACAGCAACCTAAGCCACTCTGCAAAGACTTTAGCAAGAAGTGTAGCTTAAGCATGCAAGACATTTCAGTGGAATTTCCACCAAGATGCTTAACTCAACTTTCCAACATTTTGGCACTATACATCAAGATGTTCAGAACCCTGAAAGAAAAGCACCCACTGCAGGGCCAGTGCAGGATATGTCATAAACAGCAAGCACTCGTGTTTCTAGCCCATGTGTTGGTAAAACAAACAGTGCAGCAGAGCAACAGTCCTCATGGAGGACAGGCTGAGCTTTGTGGAATTTTCCCATGAATGTCAGTGAATAAAGCATCAGATTTTAGTTGTTTGTATCAAGTTTTCAATCTGTTTAATCCTGTTGAGGAGTCTATTGAGTAGGAACATTTTGCTTTCACTTCACTGGAACTGACAGAAGTGCCTGAGAGTGTGGGATCTTACTTTGTCCAGGCCAGGCTCACTTAGTCTCTGCTGCTCAATGCACAGGTGGCAGACTTTGGCCATGAGCTCGTATGGATGCATGAAGAGACGTGAACTGAGAAGGAAGGTGAAGATGTATGTCCTCTGCAAACAAGAGAAAGACAGAGAAAGGCATAAATTACCACCAGTTTTATATTTTCTCAAAATCTGTTCCTAATACTTTACAATCTACAGAAGAAAACTCTACAAGTGGCTCTGCCAAAAGCAATTACTAGAGGAATAAGCATTTAATTTAACACTTAGCATTGCTCCAGAAACAGTGTTCATATGCTTGAGACAAGTTATGCAAGATTCAACCAAAACAGGGCAGGGCAGAGATGGTTTAGCTCCTCTATTGCACACAGCCTTATTTCAAGCTCAGTACCTGAAATTACTCAGAACAAATTTTCACCTCATCTTCCTTTGTTGTATAGTAAACCTGTGAAGGAGCCATTACCAGATTACACAATTCTTTGTAGGCTGATAATGGAATAACATCCATGCTCCAAGTCCAAGCTACTTAGAACACCAACAAAGAAATCTTGACTGCTTCCACATTACTAGTGAAAGCAAATAGTCTTCAGAAGAAGAGCAAAAAAAAAAAGCCAGTTGACCAGACTGTTGAGCTGATTCAGTTTTGCCACGTACACCATCTTTACTGTGCTGTGTTTGCCTGTCTGACCTCAGCAAACTGCACACTATGACCTTGTACTTCCTTTAAGAATCACCAAATACTGTTCATTTCTGATGGTACTGCATGTCTCCTGGATGAAAGTAGAGGGAACTACATAGCTTAGTTTTACAGAATAAAAATCAGTAAGACATTCTGAGGTTACAAGATAATGCTCCTTATTTTTCTTTAGTTTTCCATATATCATGATTTGAACTCATTGTGAGATGGATATTCAATATATTTATTCCAGTCTCCCGTTTGCCAGTAGTTAAGCATCTATGGCACCCATAAGAGAGATTCTACAATGTTCTGGATCTAGGAACTTGGAATAAACAATCATGTTTGACCAATCAGTGATTAAATTGCTACATTGCTAAAAGGTTACACTAAGCATTAACGGATAAGCACTAGCATAAGCACAGTTGTGTGCTGCTGTTAATTCTGACCCAAGGTAAAAAAAACCCTCCTGTCTTGGAAATATGAATAGACCTATGACAATAACAGATGTCTTTAGCAAGAGCCTTTCAACAAGTAGAGATTCAGTTTCATCATTCCCCAGTCAATCTCAGCTGCCTCCCCCACCATCTTTTGATATCATTCTTTTCTGAGAATTATATAAAAAGTCTCCATGTACTGATGTATTGATGGCCAAAAATTTTCAGATGACAGAGATTCTATTCTCACATCCACCCTCTGCTTATTCTGAACAGTGTGGTGGTAGTTCAACATTGTGGTTGCTAAATGCAAGACACATGTGAACCTCAGAGGAGCAATGGGAAATAGACATTAAAAACTGCTTGGTTTTGAAACAAATATTTTCAGCCTGTCACACCAGTGGTCATGCCTTTCTCCTCAGCTTGCCTCACAGATTTTTAAGGGCCAATGGTACATAAAATCCAACAAACAGTAAGCCAGTCCAGGTAAGTACTTTATAAATGAGTTACCAGGGTTGTGTACCTTACAACAAGAGTAATAAAGAATTAGACTTCCCAGGTTAGGTGAGTTATTGCATGCTGCACTCAGGTAAAGCACACATTTATCTTATCATTGCTGATCAGCCACTTGAACCCTTGTGACACATTCTGCTTTTGCTGCACATGTCAAAGTTTCCCTTTAGGAGATGCATCAGGCCTAGCCATATAGGCTGTATAGACTTACATCAGGATAGTAATCTACATTGGGTACTAAGTGCTGGATCAGAGCTTCCAGAGAACCTGACAGAAGATTGTTGTCATGGTAATAGAGCCCTCCACAGTTGTCCTCTTTTGACTGATACAGGTTCCTGTTGTAGCCACTGCTGTCAAACATAGCTGCAAAGGGAGGTGTCTGTGGCATCTTTCCCTGAGGAGACACAAAATAAGAGATAAGGGATAAGTAACAGAAGATACAGGGTAAGAGGCTTTCTACACTCCAGAAATAGTACTGCATGAGGAATAAAATCCAGTGTCACACCACAGATTGTACTGTTTTCAAACCTGTGCAGGCTGCTCAGGAAAGGGTCAACACAGGCTCCCATCACTGCCTGCCCATCACAATTGCCAGGGCTTCTTTTATATCCTGCTATTTCTTCACTAAATGACAGGTAAGACATCAAGGTTAAGGGTTAGAAGGAGTGTACAAAAATCCTGACAGGTTTTGGGAGCTCAGACTTTCTATAAAACTTTTGGAGATATGGCATAATATTCATTGACACTTTGGGCAAATCCTGAAAGCAGGTACCTGAGAGCAGCAGTTTGATGGGGAAGTGTGTTCAGGCTGTCACAGGCTCACACCCCCCAGTCAGTGCAGAGGGAGAGAGGCTGAAGTGCAGACCTGAAAAGGTTATGTGAAAGGACAGTCTCCTTATGCAACACAGCCTTGGAACTGCAAACAAAAACTCCTGTTTCCCAACTCCACCCTGGTAAACTACTGCTAGGTTTTTCCAATTACACCGTGGCAGGTGTGACCCAGACTAAAGCCTGATGCTTCAGTGCATCTGCCTCCACCTACTCTCTGACTGGCTCTACAGAAATTTGGAAAAATATGCCTGTGTATATATACCAATGTTGTCCAAGTTCACCAGTGTTATCAAAGATGAGAGCAGACTCAGAGATCTGTTAAAACCTTCTCACCAAATTATGTGAAATTGTGAAAAATCCAGCCCCGTGTTTTCCAGCTTCAGATTTTTCTTAATGCTTAAGGAAAAATAAAGCAATTACTCATCAGTCTGCATCTTAGTGCCTGCGGAATAAAAATGTCTTACCAAGGAAAAGGTCAGTCAGTGCTGCAGGCTGTTCAGTCATCCAAAGTAGTGGGTGGGCAGCAAGGGGACTATGACCACCCAAGAGCTCTTTTGGTGATGCAGTATGTGAAAAGGCCAAAAGATAAAATCTCTCTGATTACTTGAGTGCTGAGTTATAAGCACCTTCCCTCTCCTCCCCCCTTCCCTGCCTTCTGGGAGTAGCAGTCCTTGTCAGTTTAAGGAACATAGGTTTTATAGCCTCGATGGCAAGCTAAGTTTGTGCCTGGTTTTAACCAGTTTAATATGCACTGGTTTTAACTCTACTACAGCTGTTACTGGGCTGTGGGTGCTAATGGGCATTCAGGGAGCAAAAAGGAATTGCCCATAGCTTCCCATCCTCCCCACAACTGTGAGGCAAGGGAGATGGAGTTGGGAAGATAATATCCACAGGCTGCTCTCTTCGTGTGTTGACAGAGCATGTGTGTGCATTGGAAAAGCATTAATGCCTCTGAGCCATCATTGTAAGTGCAGATGCTGTTGCTTTTCTCTCCATTGTATCAAATCCTATTTGGGAAAAGGCTCTTTAAAGCCACAGACCTCAGCAAACACCAGCCTGTGAAGGCACCCCAATTTGAGAACAACTAGTGAAGTGACAGCCTGGAGATAAATAGCATGCTGCCATCTGTGTGCTCCACAACTCACAATAAGGCACTTTGCAGGCTGAGCTCTGTGGAGATGAGAAGCTATTAAGTTATTAACTAGATTCCTTAGCTAGGACCTGAAGCATCGTCCAGAGAGGCACAAACTTGCTGCTGCTGGCAGCATGTCTGGACAATGGTGACATTCAAATCTGCACAAGACTGAGTGGTGCAGTACGTACACAGTAGGAGAAAGCAAAAAATGGTTGCAAATCCAGGGAAGGATGGTGCAGAGGGCATCCTGGCCTACATGACCTGTTGTAATCCCACCTCAAGAGATGCCA